TTAGTCAGGTCATGATGTAAGTTGAGAATGTATTGAGACAGAATAGTAGATATTAATATGAATGGCTTCCTCTGGCTTGAAAGCCAACTTGGGCATGATGTGAAAAGCTGATGATGTGGCAATAGCAATCAATATGTAAAGTCATGTCAATCCTTAAGCCATATCCACATGGACCTAGAACTATGACTTGAGATAAAACAGTAGCTATCAATAGGAAGGCATAGAATAGCCTTTCTTGACATGAAAGACAACTTGTACATGGTGTCAAAAACCAATGCTGCAGCAATGGCAATATGTAAAATCATGTCAATCCTTTAACCTCATCCCCATAACCTATACAGAGTCAAGGACACTATAAACCATATGTCAACTACAAACTTTTGTAGCCTCAAAAAGCAGACACTACAAACTTTTGTAGTCTAAAAAGCAGACACTACAAACTCTTCTAATAAAAAAGCAGACACTACAAACTTGTGTAGTCTAAAAAAGCGGACACTACAAAATTTTCTAATGGAAAAGTGCAGACTACAAAAATTTGTAGTGTGGATAACCTTTTAACCTAACCCTAACTTTGTAGTCTAAGTCTAAGCTTTTGTAGTCTAAGTCCGACTTTTGTAGTCTTTTGTAGTCTATATCTGACTCTTGTAGTCTTTCAGTGTCAATTGCTCTGTCAGGGAATGCACCTTCCTTTTTTGGTCATTTTTCCCATGATACAATATTTGCTGCCATTTCATTTAGCTTTCTAAATGTGTTGGAATCATGTTATTTGGTTTTGTTTTCATGGAGAAAAATGCAAAAAACAAAAAAAACATGGCACTTGGAAGAATCTTTTACATCATATATTCACAACAGGAGCACTTCACAACATAATTCAAACAGATTCAGGAAGCTACAGTGTAGGGCTACAACTTTCGTTTTTTGACCATTTTAGGAAATTGGTCATGTGATCACCCTCCCAACAACCCATGTGATACATATCATCATTATTATCTAGTTTTGGTAATGAAGGTGCCAGGGAGTCTAATGAGAAGTAATGAAATCGTCAAGGTGCTCAATGAAATATCCTAAAAGAAATGAAAGGACCAGATGCCCCAATGAAATCTCACAATGAAAAATCTGAGCCTAATGAAATATCCTAATGAGAAATGTAAGAAATCATAATGAAAGTGTCAAGGAGCATAATGAAATATCCTAATGAAAGCGCCAAGAAGCCTAATGAAATATTCTAATGCGAAGAGCCTAATGAAATATCCTAATGAAAAGTTTAAGAAATGGTAATGAAAGGGCCAAATACCTAATGAAATATCCTTATGAGAAATAGTAATGAAAAAGCGAAGGAGCCTAATGAAATATCCTAATGAAAATTCTAAGAAATGGCAATGAAAAAGCGAAGGAGCCTAATGAAATATCCTAATGAAAAGTCTAAGAAATGGCAATGAAAAAGCGAAGGAGCCTAATGAAATATCCTAATGAAAAGTCTAAGGAATGGCAATGAAAAAGCGAAGGAGCCTAATGAAATATCCTAATGAAAAGTTTAAGAAATGGTAATGAAAAAGCGAAGGAGCCTAATGAAATATCCTAATGAAAAGTCTAAGAAATGGCAATGAAAAAGCGAAGGAGCCTAATGAAATATCCTAATGAAAAGTCTAAGGAATGGCAATGAAAAAGCGAAGGAGCCTAATGAAATATCCTAATGAAAAGTTTAAGAAATGGTAATGAAAGGGCCAAATACCTAATGAAATATCCTAATGAAAAGTCTAAGAAATGGCAATGAAAAGGCGAAGGAGCCTAATGAAATATCCTAATGAGAATTCTAAGAAATGGCAATGAAAAAGTGAAGGAGCCTAATGAAATATCCTAATGAAAATTCTAAGGAATGGCAATGAAAAAGCGAAGGAGCCTAATGAAATATCCTAATGAAAAGTTTAAGAAATGGTAATGAAAGGGCCAAATACCTAATGAAATATCCTTATGAGAAATAGTAATGAAAAAGCGAAGGAGCCTAATGAAATATCCTAATGAAAATTCTAAGAAATGGCAATGAAAAAGCGAAGGAGCCTAATGAAATATCCTAATGAAAAGTCTAAGAAATGGCAATGAAAAAGCAAAGGAGCCTAATGAAATATCCTAATGAAAAGTCTATGAAATGGCAATGAAAGGGCCAAAGAGCTTAATGAAATATCCTCATGATATCTCATTATTCTTGCCTATATCTTATGAAAGATTCCAGTGATAAATTGAATGAAATAGATGGGCAATCCTAATGAGATGCCTTTCATAAAACCTGTGGCAGTATACACATTGCCTCTTGGACAGTTGTCATAGATTAATCATAAATAGTGGTAGCCACTAGTGCTATGTATGATTTCTAACCCTGGTGCGTAAGTGGAGAAAACCGCGCCCCATGCAGCTAGTCTTCTGTTGGAATTTTCGTAAGTTCTCGCCCACTGAAGAGCAGCGTGATCTGTAACAAGCAAGATTTTTTCGCCCTTGATGAAGGGTTGAAATTTGACGAGTCCTTCTTTCGCGCCTAATGCCTCTCTTTCCGTTGCTGAATAATGCGTTTCTGCAGGTTTGAGGGATCTGGACCAATAGCTGATGACCCTTTCTACGTGGACTATAGTGTCGTCGAATGTAGCCCCCCATTCCTGTTGAGCTTTGTCGTCAGCCAGAGAGCTAGACAAGCTAATTGGAATCTTCGGCACTGGCTCACCTGCGTCATAGGCTTTCCTCAGGCGCTCGTAGAGACGGGTACCCTGGAGGTCCTTGATTGCTAATGGTTGCACTTGCTGCAGAGCACAGCCGATCGCGACTTCTGAGGCATCTGTGTAGAGACGATAAGGCAGCCCCTCGATGGGATGTCCCAGTATGGGAGCCTTCTGAAGGGCATCTCTAGCATCCGAAAAGGCACGTTCATGTTCCTCCTTCCACTCCCATTTCCGACCTTTCTTCAATAGTCCAAAGAGAGGAGAGCAAATGTCGGCATAGAATGGTATGAAGTCAGAGAAGTATACGATCATGCCCAGAAAGGTTTGTAGTTCTGAAACCTTGTTCGGGCGATGAAGTTCGGCGATAGCTCGTACTTTCTCAGGAGGTCTTTACCATCCCCCACGTAATCCATATGGACTCCACTGGACTCCACTGGACTCCAGTGGATTCCAGTGGCCCTCTTACCAGGCCAGATTGGCTGGCAGAATGCCCAGTCCACTGGAGTCCAGTCCAGTCCAGTCCAGTCCAGTCCACTGGACTCCCACTGGACTGCCAGCCACTTTCCTGAGTCCAGTCCCAGTCCAGTGGACTATGAGTCCAGTCAGAGTCCAGTGGAGTCCAGTGGATTCCAGTCATTCCAGTATATTATTATTATTATATATGAATACTACTAAAAAAGCGAAAATAGACTATACAATAAACTTACATTTTAATGATCAATGAAAGGAAAGGTTATAATTTACATATAGTGTGGGTCAGTGATAGCTGCAATAAGGATTTATGATTTTGTTCAGTCTGCGGGGTGAGGTCACGTGACTTACTTGAGGGCGTGCCATATCGTCACGTCTCCTGTTTGCGGCATGGTCACACCTCCGTGACCATCCCATTCCCTTCCACCACCACCACCTATATCACTGCCCACGCCAACGCCGCCCACGCCAACTCCGCCCACGTCAACGCCGCCCACATCAACGCCGCCCACATCAATGCCGCCCACGCCAACGCCGCCCACGCCCATGCCCACGCCAACGTGGAAGGACAGGCCAAGAACGAGGGACGGCGCCCATGACGTGTCAACGTCATGGGCCAAGGGTATGTCTGCCCCACCACCCCAATGCCCCGTACTCACCACGACAGGCGCCAGCGGCACGCAACAACAAAAACAACACACGAGGAGGCCAACGACACACAAGAACGACGACACGAAGACGACAACACACGACGACGACGACACGCCAGGACGACGATATGCGAGGACGACGACGACGCGCGAGGACGACAACACACGACGACGACGACGACTACACGCCGGGACGACGACACACGACCACGACCACGACACGCGACCGCGACGGCGACGACTAACACGCCGGGACGACGACACGCGACGACGATGACGAACGAGCGCCGACGAAAACGCCGCCCCCACCACACCCGAAAAACGACGAGCGCCCGCCAGCGCTGAACGGCGACGAGGCCCCTTCACTCTCTCCCCCTTTCCTTGCTCCTCTCTCCCCCCCTCCCTTTCCTTCCCCCTTCCTTGCTCCCTCCCCCCTCTATTCATTCCTCTCTTCCCCCTCCTTTCCCTTTCCCTCCCTTTCCCTTTCCCCTCCCTTTCCCTTTCCCCTCCCCTTCCCTTTCCCCTCCCTTTCCCTTTCCCTTTCCCTTTCCCTTCCCCCTCCCTCCCCCCTCTGTAACATAAAATCTATGTAAATTTAATTAATTTAATTAATAAATATACTTCAATTTTATTTTTTGTTTTTAAGTCTAAGTTCAGGAATTCTGGATTAACTTAGGTCTGTGGCAGTCCAGTCCAGTCCAGTTTTGTGTTGGGAGAGTCCAGTGGAGTCCAGTCCAGTCCAGTTTTGTGATTTGCAGTCCAGTCCAGTCCAGTCCAGTCCAGTTTTGTGCTTGCAGTCCAGTGGAGTCCAGTGGAGTCCAGTTTTGTGCTGGGAGTCCAGTGGAGTCCAGTTTTGTGATTGGCAGTCCAGTCCAGTCCAGTCCAGTGGAATCCAGTGGAATCCAGTGGAATCCAGTGGAGTCCATGTGGATTATGTGGGGGATGGTAAAGTATTGCTTTCTCAGCATGTGTTGAGAGACCTAAGCAGGAGACTTTGTGACCGAGGAGTAGTATGGAATCATAGAACATATGGCACTTCATTGGTGACAGAGTGATTCCAGCGCGCTCAATGGCCCCTAGAACTTTGTCCAGATGAACGATGTGGTCTTCAAAGGATTTGGAATAGACCACTATGTCGTCGATGTAGACTAGACAAAAGAGCCAAAGGTATGGTGCCAGAATGTTCTGCATTACACGTTGGAATATCGATGGGCCATTGCGTAGACCAAAGGGCAGGCGTCGGAATTGAAAGAGGCCTCTGTGTGTCCGGAATGCCGTTTTTTCTATGTCTTCTTCGGCCATTTCTAGTTGTGTAAACCTGGAAAGCGCGTCCAGAGAAGAAAGCACCTGTGCTCCAGAAAGTGAGGCGAGTATCTCAGATTGACAAGGAATAGGGAATTCGTCTGGTACCGTGGCGGCGTTCAGTTTGCGGTAATCCACGCAGAATCTAGCCTTGCCGTGATGGTACGCAATGACTACTGGGGCGCTCCAGGGGCTTTTCGATGGTTCGATAACCCCTTGCTCAAACCACTTGTCAATTTGTTTGTCGATTACCTGGCGTTTGGCTGGAGAACTGCCGTACATTGGAACCGAAATAGGTACTTGTCCATCCATTGTCCTGATGTGTACTCTACTTGGATATTGGCCCAATCTTCCGTCGAACCCAAATGCCTTCTCGTGCGACGATAGCATTCGCCAGGCGTCGTCTTGAAGGTGTCCCGGCAACGATCCTACATCCAATAATTCTCTCATTTGGCTAGAGGGATAAACAGTGGGGTCCGGCATCGCGGCAGTCTTCGGTCCATAGTCTTCTGCTTCTTCTGCGTTGTCCTCACTAGCTGCAGCGATGATAGCCGCCAGGGCGTCTGCTTTGTCAGCCATTTCCTGCCATTGTTTCGAGTCGCTTGGAGTATCGAAGTACTGCGCGGGGTCCGCTATAGTGGCTAACACTTCCCCTTTCCTTATGAAACGAGGTTGAGAGGAAGGATTTGCAACTGGCACTTGGGGGTTCTTTGACGATATAAGGACGTTGGGTATCAGAAGTACGTTATCGTTCCCACAAGCGAGCATGTTTTTCTCAACGAACCATTCCTTCTCGTCGTCGAAGTAGCCTACTACGTCAACTCTGCACGACTCGTGTGGGCGAATGCGGTAGTCTCTTGCTGCTTTGATAAGGTGAGCGTCCTCCAGTGTTTGTCGTTTCTTGCGCTGCCTTTTTGTCTTAGCTCGTTTATGAGTCTTGGCTTTCACGAAAGACGAGATATGATGAGCGCTTTTCCTTAGTCGATCAAAGTCGTTGGTCCGATTCACTCCCCTTGCCGGTACAGAGTACGGGGTGCCTGCGAAGTGAAGGAATGATCCCTCCGTCACTGATCTGGAGACGTGGATCTCGTAGTTGAGGTGGTAGTCCTCTCCTAGCAAAATCGGCACTGTCATGTTGGGGACAACGTATGCCTCCGCTTCAGTCTCTAGAATCGTCCCATCCGCAGCCCAGGCTGTAAGAATTGACCAAAATGTGGTGCATTAATCCCATTTTGCCTATTTCACAGACACTGGTTCCACCCAGTATTTCCAAAAGTCTGGGTTCCATTCCATGGGGGAAACTGGGGGAAAAATGGGCATTTCCGCCCAGAATTTGTTTGATCCATACAATTACAGCAATCAAATGTAATTCCGCGTGGTTCCTGGTTCTACCTCTTCTATATATATATTTCCGCAGGGTTCTCCCATCAAATATGTTTCCCCTCTTCTATAAATATATTTCTGCAGGGTTCTCCCATCAAATATGTTTCCCGTGAGTTTATTATTAGCCAGACAGGTGTCATCTCCATTGATGTACTTACCTTTCGTTGTTTTGATACACGCATCAAAAACAGCCGCAGTATGTCTTCCTCATGTCAATGATCATTTGATAAGTTTTCCGCATTCTTATGTTTTTATTTTATTTACTTTTGGTCTCTCTCTCTGGCATCTACCGCACTAATCAATCACTTTTAGGTTCCGAAATGATCACCCTCGGCTTTTGTTCATTTGATATGTTTTTCACGTTGGTATTTGATATGTTTTTTTTTAGTTTTTTTTTTGGCCCTCCCATTCCTCCCGGCATAACCCGTGCACACCACGTATTTTCGACATGGATAGGCCATCGTCGTATCCCTCCTGCACTCATTTTAGAGTGGAAGATCACGCAAAACAGCATTTGCGTCTACACTGAAGTTCGCTGCACTGTCACGTGATGGTTCAACTTGTCCAATCCATGCTCGAGTTTAAGACGTCACCCTCGTACACCAAGAAATTATTAGACATACACTAAGTACATTATAAGAGATATGTTGTATATATGAGGAATGTCCAAGATTGTAACAAGAAAAGGGAAATATGACGGCAAGAAGATCAGTTGAGAAAAGTCAAGTTTCAAAAAAAAATACTTGTGAACATGCCTCACGGCGCTCTATTTGCCTGACAGAAACTGAAGTGGCGGGGCCCTCGCCAGGTTGATCAATGTGAGTAGCAATGGTCTCGAGAACGCGATGTGTGAATGGTAAACTAGTTTGAGGGCGCGGCTTGGCTGGATTGTCTGTCAGCTCCTCCTGTATACAATCCACGACCAGAGACAAACCTTTTAACCATTTGATCCAATACCCATACGACTTCCTCAACAGCCGCTACCCAACCTGGGTCTCGAGCGCAATCTTTCAAGCCCTCCGCCCACCACACGAGCGTCGCCATCACGGTAAGGAATGCGTTCCTCCCGTGTTTGTTCACAACCGTCCAACCGCCATCTCCCCCTGAGGCCAATCGATGCGAGGCGTTTAATGCGCCGTCGACGCCCACAACCTCGCGCCAAATTGGCTGCAAGCCCTTCCACCACTTCCACCACTGTTGCTCAAATGCGCGCGTATCAACAACCTTTGGTTGCACCTTTCGTCCTCGAGCTACCCACCACGCTACTTCTGACGGCCTGTTAGTAGGCTTGAACCCCTCAGAACGCGAACCTGCTTGGAAGGAAGTATGGCTTTCGAGTTGAACGTACGAGTTGACGGCTGTAGTGAAATGGGTGCCGAGATCCTTGGCCGTGAGAAGGTCA